TAGCGATTACTATTAGAGGAGGTAGGTCTGACACCTTAAAATGTTATCACATTGTCTAAAGCTAGTTTATTGCTGCATGCTTGATGTCATGTGCGCCATAATTAGTCGCCAAAGTTACAGTGCATATAATTATTTATTCCCTCTATTCATTGCTGCTTTCAAGGTCAAAAGCTCATTCTGGAATATAATTCACGTGAAGGAGATACGCTTATAAAGGTTGTGTATTAGACAAGATTTGTTTGCGCCATTCTATCCGCTTCTTAGCCGAAGCTTTGCTCAACGCCAGCCGACAAAAGCCTATTATGGAATGGAATGAAAAAACTTCATTTTAGTCCTGCAGGACGCGCTTAGCGCGTAGCGGGAGTCTCCCACGTATAGGGACTGACAGACCTGGCGCCCACTTCGTGGGCCTGCTGGACGGCCCATTGCTGGTCGGTTAGCAAATTGGCATAGGCGGTGGCACCATATTTACGTACAGATAATAATGTGAGAAATTCTGTGGCCAAATAACTTCTATCCTATATTTGCTTCATACCCACTATTAGGCATTGGCCGTACCATGGGAGGTATTCCAATGTACATATACTCCTAGGCTAACATATCTAAAGAATTTTATTAGAGTAATATTGCTTGAATCAAAAGGTATTAGCAACTTTGTTCTTAAAATTTCATTCTTTCATCTTTGCTATAAAAACCGATTTCTTGCAACTGCTCGAGCATCCATAGAGGGCACACTTCTTAAACTGTTCACGTGAAGAATTGTGGTGATGATGAAATACCTTTATTTAAAATCCGGTGAATGGAAATCCCAGGTCCTAGGGCCACCTAGATGGCCGTACGGAGCTGTTTCTCCTACGCTGCCTCCAGGGCTTGCTGGACGGCCCAAAGTTGGTCCGTAAGTACTGTTCTTTGCAGAGTGGCCGACCATGTGCCGCGCCAGCAGATCGTCCGAAGAGACTGCCATATGATCTGGTTTATTGCACATCCCCACAACATGTGTGGAAGGGTGGCTCTAACAGGATTGCATAACTTGCGTGTATCACTCTCGTGTATGGCAGGGTAGAAAATGTTTAATTGGTGGCGACGGAATCAAGCATTGCCCTTGATTCTGAGAGAGAGAGAGAAAAATTTATTAGAAACATAGGTTAACTAGACAAAGTACTATTTGCTACCCTACACGGGAGGAGAGTGGAACGAGAGAGAAAGAAAGAGAGAGAGGTGAAAGAGGAGATACACTTTGAACTTAACACACACATCGCACAAACAGTGCAGGTTTCACAGGTGGTACCACAGTGATGTTGCCCTCAAGAATTGTAGATGGGCTTTCTTTCGTGTGGATTTTTGGGCTGAAGTACTTGAAGGTCACGCACGCAAGATCTTCTCCAGAGTAAAAAGTCGATCATTCAGTCTCCTTAAGGCACACTGGAGAGTCCAGCGGTCTTAAAAGTCTGGACATTGGCACAGGGACCTGTTCGCGAGTTCCTACGCAATGACAGTTATCGCACAACCAGTGTACGCAAAAAAGTACACACAATGCGCTATCTTATGCTTTGTCTCTGTGTACCAGTAGCACATTGTGCCAAGGATACTGCAAGCTGCTTTACAGCTCCCATACTTCCCAATGGACACGCCAAGCAAGCTCACGCCTTAAAGCGAACTCAATACTCGTGGCCTTGACATCAAAGCAACAAGATTTTCGACCGCTGACAAGCCACTTACATGCATCTCGCACCTTGCCGCTTCCTGTGATGTGTGTTAGCCGAAAGGGCGACCACGTGCTGTGCGGTGAAGTGGCAACAAAAGAATGCAGGAAGCGTTTTGAAGGCAAACTTCAAAAATTATTTTCTTTCTTGAAACAGAAACGATTTCATTATACTCTCTTCATTAATTAAACATAGATTATTCTATAAATGTCGCATCGTGAGAATTTTTCCTTGGACCGCATCAGTATGAACAATATGGTCAAATATAGGACAAATCACATATTTTTGCCGATTTCCATTTTTTTAAATCTGCCCCTAAGAATTTTCGTACGAAATTAAACCTTCCTAAACACCACAATAATATTAAGATTGCTTAGAGATCGTTCTAGCTAGAATAGAATAAAAAAATTGCCCGCAGCTTCCCTCGGGGGAACACTGAGGAGGATGCGGAGCATATAATTGGTTAACGGGGTGTTAAAGTGCGACTTACTTGGGTCGATGGCTAAATTGGTTAACGTGGTTGTGAAATGGGGTGTTAAATTGCGACTTACTTGGGTCGATGGCTAAATTGGTTAACGTGGTTGTAGGAGGGGGTGTTAAATCAGTGAACACGTACACACGTATGCGGAAGGGCGGCGCTGGTCGAAGGGACGTCGATCATTGTGTTTGTGGATTCGTTGGAATTCATTTCACCGCGACCTTGGACGTCGACGCGCCGTACAAACCAACCGACGAGCGGCAACTGAGCGAGCGAGCGCGGACCTTGAGTATATATACAGCGCGACGGCGCATGCACTGTCAGCTGTTGAATGTTCTCGAAGCGCGACGGCGCATGCGCGTCCACTGGAGAATCAGGAGAATTGTAGAATGTTCTCGAAGGGGAGAAGCGCGCGCGGCACAGATGGTGGGTGACGGTGCATGCGCGCGTCAGCTGTCGAATGTTCGAGAAGGGGGAGAAGCGCAACGGCGCATGCGCGCGCGTCAGCTGCCGATGTTCTCGAAGCGCGACGGCGCATGCGCGCGCGTCAGCTGCCGATGTTCTCGAAGCGTGACGGCGCATGCGTGCTACATTATACAGCTAGCGAATGTTCGTGAAGAGGAGAAGCGCACGCGGTGTGTAGAGGAGGAAGGGTGCACAGATGGTGGAGGAGTGAAGCGCGGCGGTGTGTAGAGGAGGAAGGGATGCACAGATGGTGGAAGAAGGAGGAGGAAGCTTGCGGACGGCGCCGCACTACAAGCCTCGAGTATTAGATGCTCCACATCTAAAAGGAAAACTTTGACTACCTTTGTAGTTTTTCAGAAGGCCTAGCTGCTAGGTAAACTCTAAAATTTTGGAGCAGTTTTGTTAGACAACTGAACGAAATTTATTTAGCAGCTCAAGAGCTGTTTCGGAGTTCCGCAATCAAATATCAATTTTATATACATTTTTATTGTGGACACTTTGGCAAAAGCAAGTGAACTTTGAGGGGCGCCATGGTCTTGAAAAGTTTTTTCGAGCATAAATGATAGGCTGTAACTTTCTGGGGTATACGAAAAGAGTGAACCTCTGATTGGTGGAATCTGCGATGGTTCAGTGCCACGTCTGCGACACTTGGCATGGAATGACCCATATATTCGCCCCCTTCGGAATACGCTCGCTGTATATATATATATATATATATATATATATATATATATATATATATATATATATATATATATATATATATATATATATATATATATATATATATATATATATATATATATATATATATATATATATATATATATACGTACCCTGATGTCATACAGGGGGCAAAGCTTGGACGTCGCAAACAGCCTCTCATGCAACCCTTTTCCACTTGCCTACAAGGCCTCGCAGTATAGGCAGGGTGCATACTGACCGGCTGATAGTTTTATCTTTCCAAGACAAGTTTTACTCCACTTTCTTTGTGAACACAAAGATGATCTGCTACATATACACCATGTGGTTCTGCACACTCCTTCATTACAAGTAAAAAAAAAAACACGAACAAACTTGTCACTGTAAAAAGCCGCCCTGCTCAACCCGGATTCTGAATACCGGAAGTGGCTAGTAACTAATCAAGGTGGACGATTGGGCGAGTTGGTGATTCAGTGCCACGTCTGAATCACCAGTACTTGAAGGTCACGCACGGTGTGATTACTTGAAGGTCACGCACGGTGGCTCGGTTTACTAGCTCTAGGCTAGTAAACCGAGCCATCCCAGCGTCGGGCAATCCAATGGTAGGTCCGTAATAAAGGTTTTTAGCTTGAGTTCATGGTTTGACTAGTTAGGTTATATCAGCATCATCGCATTTACCAGCATCTGAAGTAGTTATTACCCAGTGGGCAAGCAAATAATTCACTCATCCCGAGTTTTTTTTGTTCTGTTTTGTTTTGAAGTCCATGGTTTCAGCCGATGTCAGTAAATATTTACTGTTAAACCCTGTAAAGAGAGGCACTGACGCCTCTTCTCACAGCAAGTGCACCTTTTGGCACTCCTTATATAGGCAGCCAATATAAAAAAATCATAATTGTTATACACTGCTTGCCATTCGACCTTGTATACTGGAAATAACTGATTGCAGTGCTGCCTAAACTGTGGGTTTTGCGAAACAGTGAAGCACCGTGAAACATTACCAGCAGTTTATTGCGCATGTTTAGTGAGTGTCTACCTCTCCCGCCCATCCCCTATATCTTCAACAGCAACTCTGGGCAGTCCGTCTTCAAAATAAGGGACTTATTTACCATCTGCCTGCGTTGTTTATTGATTACCATATTTTTCTGCCGATGCATTCCCCGTATTGTCTCCGAGCGTGAATGTACGCCACAGATTCCAAGCTGCTGCTGCTGCTGCTGCTGCTGCTGCTGATGATGATGATGATGATGATGATGGTGATGATGATGATGATGATGATCATGATGATCATGATGATCATGATGATGCCTTTAATATGGCTCGTACCCACTCAGGGGGATCAACCAAGAACTGGTTACACGATTTTGTTTGTTTGTTTCTCTATATAAATGGCACGTACCCACTTTGGGGGATCGGCGAGGAATGCAACGTTGAGACTTAAATATTATTTTATGTAAGCTATGAAATTAAAAATCGAAAAATAGAGAAATGAGATGGCAACAATACGTAAAATATTCAATTTAACTACAAGTAATATACTTTTGAGTTGTTACGTCTTCTTTTCCGCTTTTCGCTGAGAAGTCTCGTAATAATAGCAATCACCATAATCATGAGTGCGCTCAGAAGAAGAAGAATCCTTCCAGTGCGGTGCAAGGATGACCGCTGCGGCCTTCGGTCCTCTCCTCCTGGCGACGGCGTGGACATCGCTGTGGTCGCCCGCCGACGCCCAATGCACCCCGGAGTTGCGTCGCAAGAGACCGACGCACACAGTGTGCCAGCCTCCCAACCCGGCGTGCACGATATACAGGAGTGGCGTGAACGACGCCGACAGAGCCCTGATCTTGAGCCGCCACAACGAACATCGGAGCCAGGTGGCGAAGGGGCGGCTGCCGGGATTCGCGGCGGCGACCGACATGCAGGAGTTGCGGTGGGACGAAGAGGTGGCACTGGTGGCGCAGGTGAGCGCATTATAGGCGTGCGCGGGTTTCTCAATTCGCAAGGGGGATCATTCCGCCGTACGATGATGTAGCGCACTTTCGACGGAGCCAAAGGAGACCAGACGGACACAACACTCGCAACTAAATTAATCTAGAAGAAACCACTTCATCATATATTGCGCACCCACGCACTGCCGAGTGACACAAATGAATTGACAATCAAGGGCGAACTTATCAAACAATTAATTTTTTTCATAATCAAGTGATATCACTGATCCCAGCTATGCTTAAAAAATGAAACTAACAATGTATTCTTATCTAGAAACGAACTTCTGCGCACACCTATGCAATCAAAACGAGGCATGCGCAACTTATACTTTTAAAAAAGCAATACACAGTCAAGGGTAACCGCAAGATTTTCTAGCAGAACCTTACAAAGCACTTCCAATGGAATCGTCATAACACGTGAGTCGGAAAAATTTTCTTGTTTGTGTGATAAGTTGGCTTTGATTTAGTAATTCATTGCTGTGTCGTTCGGGGTGAGTGAGCGCATATATATGAACTGGTGTATTGCGATACCCATTATAGCGACAGCTCGCGGCTTACTTTGGCCGTCTTCATCGCCGTCATGTCCCGGATATGTATATGTATGTATATACCTACAAAAGGCACAAAGAAAAATAATTCAAGGCACCAACCAGGGGATTCGAACCAGCAGCTCCTCAGCGCGCAGCGTTGGCCAATTAAGCCGTACCACTCATTCTATCCATACCACTAGAGACTAGCTATATATATAAGTCATTTACCACTCGCTTACTAATAATAAACTTGAAAGATTCTTGGAACGAAGTTTGCATGTCTCGATTTTAGTTAAGCAGCACGTAAAATTAGGCAGCTTAGTTCCACCTTTTTATGTGGAACTAGCCGATTCTCCGTGGTGAGTGGCAGCCTTATATGAAGAAACAAGCAAGCAAGCTTCTCCCACCATCCAGCTGCTTCCGCCGTCGTCGCCCACACTGCAATGTCTGGGACAATCTGAGGTGGACGTTTTGGTGAAGTGCATTCGAAGTGTACTTTTTTCTACCGTCACCGGTACCGTGGACGTCGACTGACGGCAAGGAACAAAACACCGGGCAAACGCCGGTGAAAACGCTGTATGTAGTTCGTCCTTTCTTATGCCTCCCCCCCCCCCCTCCTTGTGTCGTACGAACACCTGCGGAATAGCTCCAACGGAATGCTAGTCACGCTGACGCAAGGCATGATCGCGTACGTGTCTATACACAAGAAGAATGTGCTGCTGCGCGTGTGAGAAACGCCGCAGCTCAGCGCACATGCTGCGTTCAGTACATTTCCTATACGGTTCCCCAAATATCTTAGCCCTCCTTCGTATAACAGTCCTATCGGTTGCTATCGCAATCATTGCTTAGATCATCGAGCGAAACTGTGACTCGCTTTTCTAAAAGTCGGTTACGAGTGTCGTGTCCTCCTTGTACTTTTTGTCTAAATCCAAAATACGCTACTTCTCCATACGGTGTAATATTCAGGCCCCAAAAAGCCCATATCTAAACCTTAGGAAGGGAAGGGGGAGCAAGTTTAAGCGCAGCCCTATAGCCCCTCTCTCCCCTCCCATTGCATATGTCAGGTCCGACCAAAAAAATAATAAACAGACTTCGGTCACCATCATCGTCAGCCTGACTACGTCCACTGCAGGACAAAGGCCTTTCCCCTGTTCCGCCAGTTAACTCGGTCCTGTGCTTGTAGCTGCCAATTTACACCCGCAAACTTCTTAATCTCATCTGCCCACCTAACCTCCTGTCTCCCCCTAACCCGCTTGCCTTCTCTGGGAATCCACTTAATGACCAGTGGTTATCCTGTCTGCACGCTACATGCCCGCCCCATGTCCATTTCCTCTTCTTGATTTCAACTATGTTATCCTTAACCCCCGTTTGTTCCCTAATCCACTCTGCTCTCTTCTTGTCTCTTGAGGTTACACCTGACATTTTTCTTTCCATTACTCACTGCGTCGTCCTCAATTTAAGCTGAACCCTCTTTCTAAGTCTCCACGTTTCTGCTCCGTAGCTAAGTACTGGCAAGATACAGCTGTTATATACCTTCCTCTTAAGGAATAGTGGCAATCTACCTGTCATACTTTGAGAGTGCTTGCCAAATGTGCTCCACCCTATTCTTATTCTTCTAGTTACTTCAATCTCGTGGTTAGGCTCCGCGGCTATTGCTTGCCCTAAGTAGACATAGTCTTTTACATAGACTTGAACATATACTTCGGTAATAGCGTACAAAATAGGCCTATGGCATGGTTTATCTTCATGGTAGAAGCGGCACAAAAAGACGCCATTATGAGAGTAACAACACAACAATGAGCGCCTGTCCCGTGTCACTCCTCTTCGATTGTCGTCATCTTTCTTCGCTGCTTTTAACGTGAGGCATTCGAAATGAATGCGAAGATGAAAATGTGCATTTGTGAGCTTCTTAGAACGATATGCTTCATAGTCCCCGACTTTGTCCGGTCAAAGATGGAAAATAACCAGATCTTACAATGCAGCACCGGGGGTACTTCATCTCCCAGCACCGGGGGTACTTGATTGCTGTTATAGTCAAAACCTACATGAACATAACTCTACATTCTAAACAATGAAAGTACAGATAGGACTGAGTAAACGTTTGAAAGGATACTGGGCCCCTTCACCCCTTCCGGTTATGAGGAAGGGCTGCCACCCCTTCTTCAGTGTGTGCCCACATATGAGTGAATGTCGTCATAAACTACTCGCGTGTGCATCTAATATTTAAAAAAAACCTGAGGAGGGGGGGGGGTTCATCTCTTTCTAAAAATGTTAAGGAGGAAGCGTATACTTGGAGCACCCATTTATCTGCAGTTGAATATTCTGCTTATCTCTTGAAGTTTACATGTGCGCTATGTTAATGTATGTTGCATTATTCGTTTAATTTGGTATCGATGTTGCATCAAAATTTGCGGTGGTAATTCTGTAAGGTTTCATGTAGCAGTTTGGACAAACTTCCTGTTAGACCTCCAAAGAACTCGCCATAGACGATTATGTACATTGTACTGAGATTTATAACCTGTTACGTGACTTTTGCCGACCTTACAAATAGCATTTACTTTACTTGATCTCAGAGTCGTATGGAACCGATGCAGTTCTGTGATCACCTATATTACTGTGCGTAAGCTTCCAAGTCACTTTCTCTATGAAATTGCTTTGAAATCCCAGCCCGCCAACTGTATAATGTTTGTTAGCATCCGTCATATGCCTTTCTGTTCATTAAACTGCAGTGATCGCAGGCCACCCAAATCATTCTCTTAATTGCATCTTACAACCCGTGAGACAACTCTCCCAGTACACACTTGAGTCAACAGTTGACACATCTTCCTCATTCAGTTGCGACGACATATGATTGTCCACTTGGTTACACAGCAAAAATGCTCAAGCCAACCTACCGAAAATCTAAGTGGTTCTTTGGCGTGAATTTGTCATCTATGAAGTATATAGCATCAAACATACTGTACCACTTTTGCATACTGCAGGTTGTAAAATCTCAAATCAATACATGCTCATCTATTCAGCACATCAGCACAAAATTGAACAGAACATGGAGAGAAGATCCAAGTAGCCTTCGACTTCATCGTTTTTAGAAAGTTTTAAGCGTCCCATTATTTTGTTAGTCACACGAGCACCGCACTGACAGTATGAAATGAACACGCTCCCAACCGGTAGCTTCAAAATTTCTACAATTTTTTTTAACCTCGCACGACATGGAAACAGTCACTACTTAGGCATCTATGCCTTTCACCTAAAGTAGGACGGTGATCACTTTAGAATAATAAAATGTGCTCCGAGAACTGTAGTGTGATTAATTTCCGCATCATATGTTTATTATTGAAGAAAAATTGACCTTAAAATTTCATTTTTAACTTCCGCGCCGAAATCTCGGTGCAATGCAGCTCAGATTTTCTAGTGTATTTCTCGTATTTTTTTGTTGTTGTCTTTATTTCAGACAAATGTATGTCTTGGTTACAAGGGCAAAAGGCAGATGTCGTCTGCCTGACGGGACCCAAGTACCTGAAAGCACTACTTAGAGCGTACAATATAAAAAGAAATACAATATAACACACTAATAATGCATGTGTAACATTACTTTTGTACAGAGTAAATGAAGTACATACTTGTACAGTAATAAAAAAGATTCATAACACTACAAATAACGAAACCAGAGAAACATATGACCGCTATATACAGAACTTATCAATCTTGAGAACAGGATAGAAGGTAAGCTTTGATATATTTTCTGAAAGATTTCAGAGACAAAGATATCTGCGCGATTTCTATAACCTGAGTATGTTTGTTGAGAAGACTGGGAATTAAATATGTAAGTGCTTGCGTTCCATAGGTGGTTCGGACAAGTGGAATTCTATAATGGTCGTATCTTAATACATAAGGCACATAGCTACTAGATTGCAGTTCAATATATCTGAAGGATTAAGCTTAATTTCGTTAAAAACATAACAGAGTAAATGAAACTCATATAGTTGATTCACCTTTAGAACACAGTGTTCTAAAAAGTTTGAACCTGTGTGATCGTTGTATGATAGGTTTTCTACATATTGTATTGGTATCCACATTTTGGCAACATTGGCTCGGAGAAAATTTTTCAAACTCGGTAAATTAAGTCTATGACCCCACTTAGACGGCAACGTCTTTCGTTCTGATTTTAACCGCGTACGACCTCGTAGACACCATCAAAGTCTATGAGTTCATGGCGTTTGTTGTAGGAACTTCAAGGAGGCGTCGCCACGCACGTTCGCTTTTCATACGTTTTTTCGCTTACCAAGTCGCTTCCGTTGATATGAGCGAGGTTTTAAATACTGCAAAATAAAGTTCACCAACCCGCGAAAAATCGTTTTTTGTCTTTTGTGGCTGTTTTAAAATTCTTATTTATTTGTTTATTTAATAATTTCAGTGATTGATTGTTTAGGTCAAGTAAGGTACCAACAGAGTAGCTATTCAATCTACTGTCTGGCCATTTGCATACTTTCTAACCTCCTTATTTATGCCTACTACTTCAGTCCGTGCTTACTTGTAACACGATTCGCATATATCTATTATGACAGGCCCACGCTGACCTCTGCACGCCAGCCAGCGGAGATTTGCTGCAGCACGACAAAAACGAGAACCGTTTCACCTCGAAATTCCAATACGTGGGCCAGAACTTGGCGTGGGACGGACAGTCGTACCCGGTCAATGGGCCCAACTGGACCCACGCCATCGACGAATGGTACATCGAGTACAAGTACTACCCGGCCCAGTACGTCCGCAAGTTTCCCGGCGCTGGGACGCACGGCAAGGCCCACGGGGCACTTCACCCAGGTCATCTGGGCCAATACCAGCAACATCGGCTGCGGCTACGTCTACTACACGGTTCCCGGAGCACGGTTCCCGCACATGCGCAAGTACACGTGCAACTACGGTCCATCGGGGAACTTCAGGAATCGACCCGTCTACACAGAGGGCGCCACGTGCAGTGCCTGTCCACCGCCCACGCGCTGCAGCCAAGCCACGGGGCTATGCGATGGCCAAGGACCTGCGAAGAAGGGTGGCCAGGACCCTTCGCCACCGCCGGACACTCCCGGAGTGCCGCCTACCTCTGAGCCGCCGATGGAGACGCCGTCGTGGCCTTACGTAACACTCGGTGTGACCCTGGTTGGGGTTCTAGCCTTACTGGTCCGGCATCGTCTTCTGCTGGCATGCGATTGCTCGCACCGAAAACCTGACGGCCGGGGCAGCGACTTCCGCTGCCCACTCGCAGACGGAGTAGTCGGCCACACACGCCATGCGCACTCATTGATGTATATATAAAACATATGCGACTCTTTAACATATGTATTTAACAACACTTCTGCTTATCTTGCCGTCAATTTGTAACGTTCGGCTAAGTACGACCAGAAATTAGTTACCTTCCTTCTGCATGCTTCGCATGACATCGATTGCGAAAGTACATTTGATCTGCCGAATTTCTTCAAGTATAAATTATCTTACTTATATGCACTTAGATTGCCTCTATGCGACTGACGACAGCCTGAAAGCTGCATACATTGGTGGTTGCTACATTGTTTATCAGCGTGATTCGCTCTTTTTTAGTACACACAATTCTTTGTGACGCATGCTCTTGTCAAAAGGTGGCTTACGTGTGCCAGCAGTGCTTAAGTGCGAACACAGGTCACTGGAAAGTGTTAATAAAGGGATAATTTTGCGACTATGTTCGAGAAATGCGGGAGACTACGGAGCGAAGCTGGGCTCATTCGTTTCAGACTGCGCGTAGCCGCAATAGAACTGAGGCCGAGAGTCACTCTCGGACGCTCTGAACGACTGTACTCGGCGAGGCAACTTTTCTTGACAGCAGTGTGGAAGTTACGGAACCAAAGCGCACGACTGCTACCACACCAATATATATATATATATTGGCGTGGTAGCAACTAAAAAAAATACTCGTAATGGGACACTAAAATGTACACTTAACGATTGAAATCTTTCTCTCATTCATAATTGTCATGCGTATGTTTTTCTAAACGTGTTAATGTCGACGAGTGAAACCGAAAGCAACTGCAATGTGCCGTACAACTGGCCCGCTCCAGTAGGTTTCACTCTATTGTCAAAGCAAGTCGTCGCCGAGTATATCTACTGAATTCACTCGAATACAGTGCAGGTGCGACATGGCAAGTTGCACGTTTCCGACTCGAAACAGATCCGTGGTGTTAGGTGTATAGAAAATGTTCATTTCTGCCAATTTCTTCTGGAGATGCGTGCGAATGTTGGTTACCAGAAAGAAACCAGCGACAATACCGGCAAATTATTGGAGAGGGAGAAACAAAGAACCTAATGGGCTAAGGAGATTTGCCAAGCACGGGTCCATTTTGCTACGCAACATTCATAGTTTGGTGGTGGCGACTACAGAGACGAGGAGAGAGAGAGAGAGAGAGAGATATGTAAAGCTGTATGCACCCTACCACTTTGTCAGCGAGCAAGCGAGACAGATTGACTGGTGTATTAAATTTTACTGTGGTCAAGTTTAGCTGGCTAAATATTTATTGTGTTGGATTGAAAAAAGATATCTGATAATGAATGAAGTGGGGAAAGGTAACAAGGGAAAGTATATAGCGTTTGCGCAAGACATTATTTTACTTCTCATGCACTCTATGCGGCCTTAAACGAAAAAAAATTCTCGCAAAATGATCTCTTATTTCATTTGGTTCGGTCCTACGCTTCGCGCTTACGAGCCCTTTTCTGTGTCAGCTGGGGCAGCGCACGATTCAGAAATTTTTAAGAGGATACTTATCTCTTGTAACTCACTATATATACTACAACCTCAGTATTCATTTGAGTACAAAATCAACTTTCATTAATTACTGACCCGCTTCAATGCTACAATCGCAGCAGTGGTGAATTTTCAATCGTCCATTGTTTCTTGGTGCCTATCACGCGGTAACCTGTATCTTCCACATCTATTGGTTGCTTATACAAGCTATCGATGTCAACACACCACTTCTTAGTGGTCTCTCAGAATCCTCGACGTGAACGCGTATGCTAAAGTGTAATTACAAGGAACAAGCGTAAGCGTATTTTTTGACTTGGACATCGGTGCGATGACTCCTTTACGGTCAGACGTTCCCTCTCTAAACACCATTAATAATCTGACGTATATAGGAAATAAAATAAGGCTTCAACGGCCTCACGTGTACCGTCCTTGCCTCGGGCAGCGATTCATTAAGGCAAAGGCGGAAACAGTTGAAAGCGCAAATGGCTTCGAACGTGTAAGCCGCTTAGCAAACAACGAATCGTTCCTCTGGGAGGAGTTGAAATATCTCGTTCGGAATGTCCCATTCGAGCACACGTTGTTTCTGTTCGCGCTCCTTCTGCGCGTGGGGCTATGTACCAATGATTATAACGCCGTAGTCTTGCTACTTTCTGTGGAATCGTTAAGGCGGGGTAAATTTTGAGGTGCAACGATTTCTCCGGATATAGCAACTGCCCTGCACAGAATCGCGAAAACAAAACGCACAAACAAGCAAGAAACCTGGGGGGAAAAGTGAGCTCGCGATAACGACCGATTTAAAGCGCATTTTGACACAAGTTTTCGATACGTCTTCTGTAACGCTCGTCCTTGAATCGCTTCGCTGGTCATAAAAGCATCGAAAAATGCAAAACATAACCCAAGTTAAAAACTTGTCCATGGGCCTCAGGCCTGCTATGATCACCCATGAAACTGCATTTGAAACAGTGTGAAAGATCTGAGGCCACGGAGTGCCAAAACGTTCTTTTACGATGCCGAGGCAAGGTCGATGCGTTGTGGAAATTCGCATGGAGAGGCGAACCTCCCAATAGTAATAATAATAAAAGTGAGGTCCCTGAAAGTAAGATTGAGCTGGCTATCTGGCTTTGTATAAGAGGACAAGTTAATTACGGACTGAATTGCCAGAAATCACCAAAAATAATAAGTTTAAAGTTGCAATGGCATAATTCAGGTTGCGCCACCACCACGTGTAACTGCAGCTTCCATACACTCACAGTAAAAGTAGTGCTCTTTTTTTTTTACTTTATGACGTGCAACGTATATGCCGCATACACTATAGAGTAATCAAGAAGAATATACACAAGCAAAATAGTGTACGTCTGCGCAAAAACAGTGCTCGCAGAAGGTAGCCGCCCTCATTTCACCCGGATCAATTGCATTTGGGCTCACGAGAGAGGTGACGAATTTATAGAACACATTCACCGAATGTGATATCTTTTGCCAAACGTGCTCACAGCTGACGAATGTCGCGTCAACTATACTTCAAGATGCACATGATGAGCACATGCAATGTGTTGCCATGGCACGCGCGTGTGTGTGCACGTGAATGTGGTGTGTGGACGAGGTTATACACGGCATGGGCGGGAACCTAATGAGAAATAGTAGCAGACAAAGTGGGCGAAATGACGACTTTAGGTGGCAATGCACAAATAAGCTAGCTAAATGATTATCGCTTGCACCGTATATCTATTTGTTTACCTTACGACAATCTGATTTCGTTCCGTGCTGCATGTATGTCTCACTTACGTTCGTTGAAGCTGGCCTCCCCACAAGTGTTGTCGTCGGAGCAAGCCCACTTAGTTGATTCTTCACGTTACATACCAAGAAGAAAGACGTCAGAGTAGAGGTCGTGCGAAGATTCAGCATTACTGCGACATTGGCAGGCGTCGCTGTAAAGAAATAAGTGGACAGTGCATGACCGTTTCTGAATCCACACGTAAAAAAGGTGCTTGGCTTGATGTCGAATCCTGCTCTATTATTTATGCTATGAGGGTGCTCGGTGCAACATTCCCAATTTGATGTAACTTTTAATGCCATAACATAATTTAAAATGCCGCATAACAATGATAAGAAGTCCTGATGATGCAGTTATATTACTATTAGTAGTGCAACCTAGAAGTGCTACGATGAGTTGCCATCCTCAGCTGGCTGACTATGTGTGATTGCCGGATAAATAATTGCACCATATATTTAGAAGAGAGCTAGCGGAGCACCCCAAGGGCCTATAATACTTAAGAAGTATAATCTGGAAGATTATTGGGATAAATTGCTAAAATCGACTGGTGAAGTAATGGACCCATTCCGAACGAACAGGTTCTGAAGCGAAACATGTTGGGAAAGTCGGTTTTTACATTCAGACATTTCTCTAGCTGCGCAAATAAGACAGGACGAAAAACGGCGTCTGTGTGCGCCCGTGCTGTCAACTTGTGTTCCGTCAATCGTGCAGTTTTATTTCAGTTTCAGCGTCTGTCTAGGTTCCTCTTTCAGTCCGTCTTCATGGCGCAGTGAAAAAAAAAGAAAACTGCTGAGTATTATTATGCCTCATGCGTCTGCCCTTTCAGCACTTGCATAAACCGAGCAAGACACTCGCCGATGGCAGGCATAACCGGGGTTGCCATTATAGACTACTTTGCACCAATGACTGGGGACTTTCCGGCCCTGTCTGGCAACGAAAACGTTAGGTTGACGCCATGGTTACGTTCTGGCTAACTTGCATTTTTATTTTGTCCGGTTTGCCGGTAGTTTGTCCATGTTATTAGCAGACAAAACAGCATGCAGGCTTAATTATTAACCAATACTTGCAAGCTTTACTGTCGTGTTGACCTATGCATGCACGTGTATGTCCCCCGCCAGCGGACTATTGTGCTTCGTGACACAAACGAGCGTCCCTACGTCTCAAAAGACAGAGGAACACGCGCACGTTAGGAAACACATGTGTGTATAGCACACTGCTAAAGCCAGATTCAAGGGTTGAAACACAGTCCATCAACGAGATATTCGCAATAAAGTAAGAATGAACTGATAATCTTCGATCAGATTTCGCTATACTTGAAGCTGGCCTAGTAATATTGCAACTTTGTTTTTCACATGTACCCAATGGCAGCCATGGTGATGACATTGATATTTTCATGGTGCATGTTGGACATAGTTAATTATTCTCAATACAGCTTCAGCAGCACTATTATCTTGCGCTTTACCATCCTCAGTACTTCAGGTAGTTAACTGATTCTCTACATACTTAATTATGACCCCTTTGTCATTTTTTACGTACACCATTCCCTGAAAAACATTCCACATGAAAACAACTATATATAAGCATTAACACCTTATGAAGCTCACGAGGTCGGCTAGTTGGTCTTGATTTATTGTTGAATTGACTTGTACAGCCCAAGATGCATTTCGGACGACATGGAAGCATGCGCAAACAGTGCTAAGTCACAATTGAAGATTTATTTCATGCGATCAACGTGAATGTGCGCACTGATGTGCAAGGAAATCTGATCAACTAGCAAATATATAGAACACAAGAGGCATCTACCGTTTGTGCTTGTTTTCGAGACGGACTAACGGACTATGTCGTATGACTCAATGATACACTTCGTTCTATTTTCGGTAATGCAATAGGTCTCAAGGGTGGCACTGGGATATTGAAAAGAGGTTTGAAACATCACCTGAATTATATTTGAATTCTAAACAAGGAATTCAGATGACCTGGTGACGCCTGTTATCCCGTTTATTTCGCCTCTCGGCCTTCAATTACAAGCTGTCTCTGAAAAGGCAGTACTGGCAACAGAGCTAAAGAACGATTCAAGCGGTGCATGCACGATACCACAAAGAAGAAACGGTATGAAATTATGACGAGTATGTTGACGTTAATCGTTTATGACATTCAGTTGACAACACGTGTCTATACCTCGCCTTCCACGCGTTCTCATCGCTCTTAGCCGAATCCGCTATTGCTCTGCAGTTGCCAGTGGCGAGCATTTCTCGGAATGAATCGCGAACGTCATGACAGCGCGACGGGCAATTAACTTGCCGAGAAGTGTCTTTGTGCTTGCGCAACACGTCACGTAGGTTATTCCAACCCCTCTAAAAATAATTTTCCCGCGCCTATTCGTTCGGCACTCGCCAGCGTAGGCCTCTGATACGACGGCGGAAATGCCCGAAGCGCATCGCAACGCCAAACTAATGGACGTCGCCGAGATTTAGCAACCGTGCTGAGGCGCGACATTATAATCTGCGCTTGCCACGTGGTCTTTCTTTTTTTTTATCTGATCGATACA